TCAAGAAGCTCTTCATCCTTCTCCATAGAAATGCACCAAGAACCACAATATGAGCTTCTCTCTCACTCTCTAGCTATAATAGCAAATAGGGTTTGCTCTCAGGGGAAGGTAGCTGCAATTGAGGCTATAAATGCCTTTAAATAGGTCCCAAACCCGGGAAATTAGGGTTTCTCTGCCCAGCACCTACTCGACGAGTCCCTCCTCTGACTCGTCGAGTCCATTCATTAAATCCACGCGGCAATCTCGACTCGACTCGGCGAGTTGGTCCCTCAACTCGTCGAGTCCCTCCTTAAATCTCAAGATTAACATACACAATAATGTCCCTGGAAATCCGGATGTTACAGAATACGTAATTGTTCTTGTCAACTGGTAATAAGTAACAACTAATAAATTGGTTCCATGTTTGGGATTTGACTTTATTATAAACTGTAAAAATCATATCTTTACGCTTCCGAGCTTGTGAGAAGTATTGGATATTGCTGGGAATTTTACACAGATCATAAAGCTGCTTTTCTGATTTAATTAAGAGCTTGTTTAATTGAACAGTAAAAAGTTAGGGTTAATTGAAGAGCTTGTTTTGGTTAACTAAATAAGGTAAAAGAGATTATATTAGAGTTTGTTAGTTTTTCTCAGTACCAGCTTAGATAGAACGCATCTCAAATAATCAGATGTGGATCAGTTACATGATTAGGAAAGTCGCAGCAGAACTGAAATCGTTTTTTTATTATTGATTTTCGTTTAATTTAATATCACTGCATTTTTAGTTTTTAGTTTATAATTAAAACCCCCTTTTATATTCTGATTATTGACTAGATGTGCCTAATGCAAAAAGGCATTGACTTTTAGGCTGTGTCCCTGAGGATTCGACCCTGCTTCCCCGTGTTATATTTTTAGTGCAACCAGTAGTGATAAATTTATTTGTTTAATATGTGCGCGACAACGTGTTAACAGTTCTGTTTTGATCTGACAGTTCGGAGGTGTCGTTAGGGCAGCAGCTAGGGATTTCTTTCAGTGTGCTTCTGCATTCGAGGTGAGTTTCCTCACACTGGTTTAACGGGTCTAAGGCACCAAGGCCGACCCTCGTTTGTTAGGTTATTGTACTTGTTGTCTGCGTGATACTTGTATATGCTTGTATATGTATGTCTGTTGGGTGGGGCCCGTTATGCGAGTGTAGGCGGGGCCCGTATCTCATGATTATCCGAGTGTGGGCGGGGCCCGTATCTCACCGTTAAGCGAGTGTGGGCAGGACCCGTATCTCATGATTATCCGAGTGTGGGAGGGGCCCGTATCTCACCGTTATGCGAGTGTGGGCGGGGCCCGTATCTCATGATTATCCGAGTTTGGATGGGGCCCATATCTCATTGTTATTCGAGTATGGGCGCGGCCCATATCTCACCAAGTGTGGACGGGGCCCGTATCTCACCGACTATGGGCGGGGTCCGTATCTCACCGCGTGTGGGCGGGGCCCGTATCTCATTATTGCACTATATATATGGTATGTGGTATTTGGGGAACTCACTAAGCTTTGTGCTTACGATTTTCAGTTTATGTTTAAGGTACTCCAGTTTTCAAATGAAAGAGCTTGGGACGATCGCAGTGCATACACCCGTGGTTTTCGCAATATGTGATCCTTGGGAATGAACTCTGATAATTGTTTTATTTGAAATGTTTTTCAATGTTTGGACAAAGTTACAATAGTGTTTTGATTATAAATAAAATGAAATTTTTTATCCTTGATTTTTGGGATGTTACAAGAAACCAATAAACATATTCAGGTTTCTTCAGAGAATTATAAGTATGTTGGTGATGACGACGTTGTTATATGTGTTGATGGTGATGTTGCTACATGTAGGGATTATCATTATTGAAACGTGCTTCTTCTTGTTTATGATTTTAATAGATCTCCTCATGGAGAGCCTTTAAAATATTGTTCGCGGATATTTAACATTGAAAAAAAAAGTAATTGCGAGGATGGCTTGTCGGAAGATGAAGACGTTGGTGATGAAATAAAAACATTTATCTACGGTATGATCCCCCACAATACCATATCCGACCCTAGTTTATTAACTTGTAGTACCATCATAAAGGTAACACCTACAAACGTCAAAAAACAAAGATCTTCGACTAGCTATTTGGATTCAAATGTGTTCAAAAGGGTTATCAATAAAGTATCAAAATATATACAAAATAAAGGTTTAAGGAAATAGTTATTGGTGAAAATGTACATATATATGTTGAAGTTTTTCAAGTCTATAAATTTGTTGACAAACACACTTATTCAAAAATGTGATTGCATCCAAATCATTACTAAGCCGATTAAAAGGTGGTGGGTATCCACGGAAAGAGGTTATCGCTGATAATCACAGTAAAAGATACTAGGGAAGGGAATCTTTTAGGGTTTGGATTCAAAGTTTAAAGTTGACATTTCTTACAAACAAGTTTGATAGGTGTTAGATCTAGGAAATTTTGAGATGGGGTGAAAGACAAAGAGAAGAGGGTTTGGTTTTGGCACCGGACATCTAAGGAAAGAAGAAAATTACTTGGTGCTTTTATAGGTTGCATTGGGTCGAAGGTTGTAGCTCTGTTGGCTGATTTAGGACCGTTGGACTCTCATCTAGAATATAGATCGAGTAAGATGGGACAGACCGAGACTAATTCGTAGTTGTTGAGACTCCTTTGCCATCGTAATATTCACCACTGTTCTAGACTAGAGGTGGACAAAAAATATTGGTGCTTTTAGTGTCACCTGACATTTTGTGTAATTGAAACTGACATATGAGCTCAGAGACTTATCGTTTGTACTCTATATTATATTTTTGGTGACTGCAGAGTGCATGCATATATAAAATAGAATTATAAGTCGGTACGACTGAAAGGCAGGGGTCAAGGGGGTCGCGCCCCCTTACAAGGTCCTAGAGAAAGTGCACCTAGCGGGGTCCAAGGGGCAGAACCCCTGGTGGGCGGGGTCGAGGGGTTGCACCCCAAAAGGTCTTCGGAAATTTAAATTAGTTTTTTATGGAAAATCCGAAGTGGGAAATTGTGGTAAGATTGACAAATCTTGTCGATTTTGGTAACCATCGATTATGCCATTAATGTCAAGATTTGTATAACTAATTTAGAAGATTAACCCGATTCAGTCATGTATATATACAACTCCACTTTTGAGCCGTGGACATAACCTTTTCTTTAGCTCTCCTTCTTCTAAACGAACTTAGAACTCTCTGGCGATTTGGCTTGTATTTCTGTTCCTAGATACACAAGTGTCATCTTAGATTATCCTAGACTGAATTTCATGTAACCTAGACATAAGATGGAATATCAGTTCGGAAAGTGAACATACATGATCCATAAAGAATTTGGTTTTCCACCGTCACCCTATATATCCTCCAACAAAAAATTGGTTCATGATCCGAAATTGGTTTTGAATCCGAAGTCGATCTGCTCCTAAACCAGTTTTGGTGAAACCAGATCGGTTCTTAATCTGATCTGGCAGTTCGATCTAGTTTGATATTATAGTTATTAGCATCGTTTGAGACTAATTTTTCACAAACCGGTTTGGCGAACCGGTTTTCAATCCGTTTTGAAATCGTTTATTCCAAGAAGAATACTAGTCATTTTTTGTCGCCTCGAGGAACGATCACATGACTGTTTTCAGCTTTTATGGTCATTTTGGCCTAAAAGTCCATTTTCCCCTCAATTGATTGTATATATAGGTATTGGATCTTGAGGTTTAATCACCCAACTCAAAAACATTCTTAAAACACAAAAACGCTCTCAAGCAAAGGCGTCTGGATGTGGGTAATCATAATCTTCCACTGGTGTTGGAGAATCGTTATGCAATATTATGATTGTTGCCATCAAAATGACGACAATAAATCCAACAAATTGGTGTAATTATCATATGTGTGAAATGTTGAGCAGTCTGAGAAAGGCACGATGCAAGAAACGTGGTAGTTTTTATTTCTTTAGGAAAATGAAAATTCAACTTTGCAAAGCGGTGAAATTTGGGACGGGACATAATCAAACAACAATGAGGAATGGTGCTACATTGTGGCATTACGAAGCGACTCGAGTTCAAAATAGGATGGTGAAGTTCATGATTCAAGAGAGTTTTTCTTTTGACCACTTCGACAATCTGTGATTTGACAAAACTCATCCAAGAAACCCTCCAACCACATTATTCTCATGTAAGTCGTTCAACCTTTAGATGTGATTGCATAGAATTGTGGAAACGCAAAAAATGAAATGATTTTAGGATTTTAATTTCTAGAAACCGATATTAACTTGTGATGTTTGGACGGCTCCACATGATGTGTTGAATTCATACTTTTGCATTATTGTTCATCGAGTAAATCCCAATATATGGAAAATTATGAAGCGATGTAACGTCCTATTTTTCTAAATAATAATTATTAACGAAAACAATAATATAATTTGCTTAAAATTATTAAATATAATTAAAATATTTAACCACTTGAAATTGTTGAGGATTGAACAAGAAATTCATGAGGAAGAAATAATGATGAAAATGTCTGTACCACTTACTATATAAGAGTTTTCTTATAAATGTGAATCGTGCAACATGGAAGAAGAATAATAAATCCAAATAACAGTGACTACGAACGGTCAAAATAACCAAAAAAAATATGAGAAAAAGAAAAACAAGTACTGTGATGACAATTATGTTTGAGGTTTTATGTTTTTATGTGGAAGATGTATTGTTTTAATCTTTTATTTATTTCTATAACCAAAAAAATGAAAAAGAAAATTGCTCCCAAAAAAATGTCTCATGCCTTCAAGTTTTACTCACTCCCACAGTTCACATTCACTTTTTATTTTTGATTTCTCCTTGGGCCAAACACTAAGCCCCAAAACCACACAAACAGGCTTTTGAAATTATAAGGAAAACACTTCTTGTGGGCCGAGACAATTTCAAAAGTTCAACTTGACCGGTTTTCTTTCCAAACCGGATTGAGACAATGGATGCTTACACAAGAAAAGCCGATAACACTACAGTAAGTACATCAATGGGACATCAATTTCTGTGAAAAATAGAAGGTCTTTGACTGCTGCCTCATTTATCCAATTCTACGGATCCATCGCCAACTACACACCCCCAACAAAGCCGCCATCTTTTGAGTTATCAACCACAATTTAGACAAGCTTCTTGTGAATTTCTAAAATATGGAAAGTAGTAGCGGAGGCGTAGTTGTATCAAAAGGGATGCAGAATCCATTTACTTTGAAGGTGGGTAAAGTATTCACTGGATTTGGCGTCGGCTGTGGTGCTGGTATCGGCGTTGGCAGGCCTATAAATCTAGGTAATTGCTCTTCATCTATGTTGTTCAATAACACGATGAAATTTGGGGGAATTTTTAAACCTATAGAGAGGGAAAACCATGATACTAGTATGCCGGTTTTTTTTTTTTCAGTTATTTAATTCCTGCATGTTTAGCCATTTTGAAATGTGGGTTTGTTTTGTTGTTGAATTTTGATTGCAAAGTATGTCCCTTGAAGATATAGTTATGTTATTCCGGTTGCAATATATAGCTTTATCTGTCCCTTTAGGTTATAGTTTCCAAGAAAAGATTGGCTTAATGTTTATACTTAGGATTGCATAATGTTGATTGTTCTAATGTTCATTTGCTTATGATTTTAACATAAATTAAATGTTGTAATGTTCATTTGCTTCCTCTATACTTTCTCATTCTATTACAATTTTGGATGCATTACTGGTTATGTTTGAATTTAACAGGTGCAATACCAGTATTAAATCAAGTAATGGGTGCTGCTAGAGGAGCAACAGATGTTTTTTCAGGTGTTGGAAGACATGTTAACAACTCTGTAAGCTCATTTAGGTTGTATACTTACTTTTCTATATTATTATTAGATCATAAAATACTAATAATAATCAAATCCATTTCAGTTGAATAAAGTGGGAGCGAAAAACATTAAAGTAGGCATTGGGTGTGGAGTTGGTTTTGGCCATGGTTTTGGAGTTGGTATGGATTTTATATATTACCTATTGTGATGATATTGATTTTTTAGAAATTTATTTTACCCTTTTTGTTAATCAAAAAATCAAAAACAATAATAATAATAATATTCTATTTTCATTGCAGGTCTTGGTATAAAGCCTTGGGTGTTACAGCAAATACAAACAAGCCTTGTAGTATGTCACTTCTCTTGAACATAATCATCATCTAGTCTATTGTGTTTTCTATAAACCCAAAGTTTTTGCATCTTAATTATATGACAACATTTCAAATATTCTCCAGCAAACAGCTACAAAGTTGATGATGAAATTTGGAATGACACCCAACTTATCAAGTGTTACTGGAGGCATGTTTCCCCAATCATTACAATTACAAAGTGGTAGTAAGACTAAGACCATAAACACAACTATGACACAAGAAAATGTGTCATCAAAACCTCCATTGACTTCATCATATGCGAATCATACAGAGAAGGTTATCAACAACTTCTTGAAAAATCCTCTTCTAGAAGGTGAAGCGAAGAATCAGGTATGCAAAAATGTAACTTTTTTTTTTTCTTGAAATGTTTACAACTACTTGTGGCTTGATGCTTTTTAAGTCATGTATTATTTGTAGGTGGGTCCCTTGCATTCTAAGGAGGAGGTCATTGAATTGGTATGGTTTTGTTGACTTTTGAAGCGAAAACAAACTTTCAATTTTAATGTTGGATGAATTTTTGAAGTTATGAACATGAAAAGTAGCAAGTAAAATCATTGAATATTCATGTTGTAGGTTTTAAAACAACAACTTGCTCTTGAGAAACTTAAGGAAGAAAATGAGAAGCTTCGAGAAATATTAGTGGAAGACTTGAAAATTTCACCTGATAAGTTTAAAGTGAATGGGTACTATTCAGGTACAAATATGTATACATGTAATGATTGTTTGGAGTGTCGAAGGAGACAAAGAAGAGATAGGAGAAAGTAAAAGTTTATACTCAATTGCTTAAATCAATGAGAAATGCTTTTTTTCTTTCACAAGCAATAATAATAAGAGTAAATTACAGTTTGGTCCTTGTGGTTGGCACAAATTTTTGGTTTGCAAAACTAATGAAATTGCCAACCACCGGGACAATTGGTGTCAAATTTGCAAAACTAGAACCAAAACTGCCAACCACAGGATCAACTGTAATTTACTCTAATAATAATATGATGATAACAACTATAATCAAAAGTAGGGCCACGGAAATAAATGGGTTTGGGTTTAGTTTTTCGACCCGTTTATTATACGGGTCGTGTTCTTGTTGGCAAATAGTTTCACGGATTGGCCTGCTAATCCGTTTATTTTGTTAGATTAAAAAAATAAAATATTTATTTATTAAATAAATGAGTAAATAAAAATTTTATCTAATGAAATAAACGGGTTGGTTGGTCAATCCATGAAACTATTTGCCAAGAACACGGCATGTATCATACTAAGCGACAAAGGAATTTGTTTGGAGAAAAATTGGAATTGTAGCCATGTCTCTTTTTCATTAATGTTTTTTTATTTTTTATTCGTATCTTGGATTTGGATGTGTTCATTTGTGTGTTTGCATGAAGGTTTTTACTTTTTATTTAGATGTGTTCATTTGTGTGTTTGAACGAATATTGTTAACTTTTTTATTTGGATATATGTATCAATTATTTTTCTAGATTTTGGATGTGTTTAGCAGTTTTTTTTTTCTGGAATTTTCTCTAATTAAATAAAAATGACCCACCAACCCGATTATATGACCCACTAACCTGTGAACCCAGAACCAATATAGTTAAACAGGTCAGATGGATTGTGTTTGGGTTTGGCATATCCAAGTTAGGGTTGGAACAATACCACATGATTATCTATATGGGTCGTGTTCAGGTTTATATAATTTGAACAATCACAATTGTTATTTAATATCTTATAATAATTAATTATAACCGAAAAGCTTGTGTAACATACATAGTATTTGAATAGATTTTTGCTATTAAAGATGTCCAATGTTATCTTCGCCTATTGATTACTATTCCTTGTTTCATTATATAATTATATCATATAATGGTTTTAATACACACAAAAATAACATAATCGTGTTTTCCCTAATATAAAATACAAAAAGTGGACATACGGATCTAACCAAACCTCTTTTGACCCATTAATTGCAAAATCAATATCACAACAAAAGAAGCGGAGGGGTGAACTTCAATTTGTGTATGAAAAACATATAATATAATATAAGCAACAAACTGAAATCTTCCAAAACATGATTAAAAGTATATAAAAACTATCATGAAGATCTACACCATTAACGATTAATGAAGTAACTACCCCTAAAAGGCTAGATAGAAATCATGAAGATCAATCCTGTTTGGTAGTAGAAAGTTTAGCTCGGTGCCTGAGTTCTGCTCTTTTCCACTTCACCATAAGTTGACATAAAGAAAACAGTGTGTTCACCTGCAAAAACAATAGGCAATAGGTAATCTTATAATACTAAAACTTTAACTATAAGATTAAAAAATAGTGAATTGTGCAATATTGACAATAATAAAATTAAGAACATTCAAAAGTAAATTACCAGAATAATCAATGAGAAAACAAGAAGAGGACCAGACCAGAGCACAGAGAGGAAGACTCCATGGCGATCAAAATAATTTTGACCAGCAAAGCTTTTCCAGTTATCACTCAAAACAGTGTTTAGTCTTTCAGCAAAGTACACACCAACCACTGCATCAAGATTGAAGGAAGGGTATTATAGACATTTCACCAGTTAACAGTTTCCTTAACCTATATATTTGTTTTGTTGCTCAAGGGATACCATAGTAAACTTACATGACAGAAGGAACAGGGACATCTGAAAGTTGATATTTTTCCTTGAAGTGAGGATTATTATAAGTGTCACAACGTGGAACACCATCAACCCCACTAACCATGGTTCCTGAGAGATACATATAGAACAGAAAGCAAGCAGCTTAAAGAACAACAAACACATCACAAGTACCAAATTGAAGTTTTTCTAGGTTAGGTTAGATTAGGTTGTGTTATATAAAACTTAGCTGGTAATTTAGTGTACTTTGTGGAAAGGTGTTACCTTACCTTCCAATCAATGGCATGAAAGAAGCCAATGAAGTTATCCATTGCTGGTTGCATTCCAATTCGAAGCTCAGATGAAAGTTTCTCAACAAGTTCTTGCATTTGATCCATGTGCCCATTCATAGCTGTCTTTAGCTCATCCATTTGATTTAGCTTTGTCTCAATTTACTGCACAAGAAGTTGACGGAAGTAGTAATTAACAAGACATCATGACTCATGACAATTAGATCTCATCATAAGTGACTTTATAACCAAAAACTGGTTTGTTTCAAATTCAATTTCAATTAGATCTCTATAAACGTTTTAGACAGAAGAAATAAACCTATTTACAACTTGAATTTGGAAAGTACAATAGAGGAAACTCTAAGCTAAAATGATGACGATTTGGGGGATCGGATGATGCAATTATAAACCAAAGGCCCATGAGACTGAGATCACCAGTCAAATTACGAGTTCAGACAGACAAATTTATACTATTACCTGACAAAGCCAAGTTTAGAAGAAAACATTCTCAAATCGGAAAAGAGAAGAAGAAATTACAGTGTAGTGATTGAAGACAGTGAGAGCGAGAGCCACGGCGAGGGCGACGGACTTGTTCCTCACGAAATCCCCGAAGTTATGATTCAGTTTGAGGTGGTGATTTGGTGAGATTTGAAGAGTAGATCTTGTTCTAGAGAATTAAAAAGGGTTTATCGCTTTATATCCCCAAATTGTACAATTTAACACTTTATTTGATGGGATAACGGGATAATGTCATAAAAAGCCTTAAGTTTGGCAGAAAATGTCGGTTTTACCCTTCGGCAGATTTTTTGTTCGTTTATACCGCAAACTTGTCATTTTTTTGTCGGTTTTGCCCTTTTTACCTGCAATAGCAGGTTTCCAGGTTACCATGAATTATTTTTTTGCGAAAAAACCCATAAGTTTACAAATATTTTGCAAAAAAACCCTTAAGATTATAAACATATAAATTATAAATATATATTCAAATTTTGATAAAACTAAATAGTTTTCTACTGAAACATATTTTTAGCTTTACGTACGGTAAATTTTATATTGGTTCGATATAAAGTTTTTATATTTAAATTTTAAAAAAGTTACCTAGTTTTATCAAAATTTGAATATATTTATTAATTAATACTTAAACTTTTCAAAGAAACATTAAAAAACGTCTGTTAGCTAATAATTAACTATGCTAAAACAGTTAAACATATGAATAATATGACATTAGTTAAATTCAATTAATTTTTTTAAAAGGAAAATAAAAATATTGTATATGTTTAAAAGGTTTGTATTTTAGAAATAATAAACTATCATATTTTTTATAAAAATAAATATATTTATATAATAAATTAGACAAATATATTTATATGTTTAAAATGTTTATGTTTATTTTTTATGTTTAAAATGTTTATAATATTTTTATAAAAAAATATATGATAATATTATTATGTATTTAAACATATAAAAAATATGATACATTATTATTTCTGAAATACAAACCTTTTAAACATATAAAATATTTTTGTTTACCTTTTAAAAAAATTAATTGAATGTAATTGATGTCATATTATTCATATGTTTAACTATTTTAGCATAATTAATTAATTAACTATCAGACGTTTTTTTTATTTTGCTTTGAAAAGTTGAAGTATTAATTAAAAAATATATTCAAATTTTAATAAAACTAGGTAACTTTTTTAAAATTTATATATAAAAGGTTTATATCAAACCAATATAAAATTTACCGTATGTAAAGTTAAAAATATGTTTCAATTTTGGTTTCATAATATAAGTTCAATAAAACTTATATTAGTTTGATATAAACTTTTGACATTTAATTTTTAGAAAAACTACTTAGTTTTATCAAATTTTGAATATATATTTATATTTTATATGTTTATAATCATAAGGGTTTTTTGCAAAATATTTGTAAACTTAAGGGTTTTTTCGCAAAAAATAAATCATGGTAACCTGGAAACCTGCTATTGCAGGTAAAAATGGCAAATCCGGCAAAAAAATGACAAGTTTGTGGTATAAACGAACAAAAAATCTGTCGAAGGGTAAAACCGACATTTTCTGCCAAACTTAAGGTTTTTTATGCCATTATCCCTTATTTGATTATATGGAAAATATTGATGATTAAGCAAAATTTAAAGGGTTAATTATAACAAAATTAATACATTGATATAAAATCTAAAAACATACTATATAATAAAATTATAATTTTATATAACATCCTTATGATCCTTATATAACATTTACATAGAATGATAAGAGATATAAGGTTATAATATTGAATAGTTGATAAGGATATATCATATAAAGGCTAGGTTATAACGTGGATGGACAATTATTCTATGAGAATTATTAAGAGAATAGATGGTTTGTTAATATAGATACGTTCAACCTTACACAACTATAGTCATTTTCATGCATTCTCACTAATTTTTATTCATTTTTGTTCTCACGCATCGTTTTTTACTCATTTTAATTCTTACAGAATACGACTCGATAAACATTCTGACAAAATGAGAATAATAAAAAAAAAATCTATAATAACCTTACAGACGATTTAATTAGTGAGAATATGTGATAATGACAATAGTTATGTAAGATTGAACGTATGCACATCACCAAACAACATATTTTTTTGTCATTCTCACAGAATAGTATTGTCCATACGTCAGCACAATAGATGTCAATCCACATTTGAACCTAGCTCTATCACATGAAACAATAAAATTATATGTAATTTTATTATATATGTTATTTTTTTAACAGCCAGATATCATTATAAAAACTAACAAGAAGCAAGGAAGTAGCTAGAATTGGATTTTTAAACCAATCAACTAAATTACCATTAATTTTTACATTTCGAAAAGTAAATCAATTATAAGAAAAATCTACTATATCATCAAAAATACAATTCTTAACCGGATTAGAGTCTCAAAAAATAATACCATTACGATATCTCCAAATCATCCATAAAGTCGTCTACATAATAGTCTCAAAAACCGTCTTTTTATTAATCGAGAGCGAAATTGTATCGATCCAAGAAAATAAATCTCGTAAAATATTTGCACCCGTTAGCATCAAATCCACCCATTTAAACACCATTTGCCAAAATAACACGTACTTCTTCACATAATAAAAAACATGATCTATTTTTCCATATGTTTATCATATAAATGGCAAAGCAACGAAGGAATATCCAAGTCTTTGATGCTAAGATATTACATGGTAGGTAATCTATCTACTAACAACATCCAAATAAAGATGTTTACTTTTATAGGGACAAAACGATTTCACCTAGTCGTATGTGTGTTATCCGGAAAATACTCAAAATCAATATGTTTTCTAACTTCATCACCGTGAACCCAATAGCACCATTCAACTCCCATTGTCGATCATCTTCTTCTGAGTTCGGTTGAAAAGACCGAATGAGTTATATTAAGCGGAACAAAATAGAAATATACAAATTAACCCAAAATTGCTAACATCAACGAGCAGTGTCAAACTGTTGATGCAAAGAAAAAGGCAAAGAACTTTTTTATCGTTTTATCAATTCTTTTATATATTTTGTAGGTCAAATTCCATAAAAACTATTATGATTTGATTTTTATTTTCTTGTTTAATGATTGGAAGAGTGTTTTTTTTTCTTGTTTAGCCATTAAGAGTTTGCATTTTTTATTTCTGAAAAAACTACTCATCAGTGGCGGAGTTTGAATTTTTGATTTAGGAGGGCCAAAAGTATTATATATATATAAAGATCGGAGAATATGAGGATCACAGCCCAAATTTTATATTTTTAGGCCTAATATATTTTAAATTTATACTTCTAACCAAAAAAACAAGGGAGACACAACCCCTTCTGTCCCTAAAAGAATCTCCTCCCCTGTTGCTCATAAATTTTGAATTCTATAAAAATTAGATTGTGTTGATTTTAACCATCCAAAAGATTTTTCTTATGATTTAACTATTATAGTTTGGTTTTTTCCTTTTCTAAACAGAACAACTCCAACCGGAAAAGTATTCTTCCAATCATTTTTGCAATTTGTTACCGAGAAAAACTTACTATGGTATTTTTGAAAAAAAAAAAAAAAAAAAAAAAAAAACTCTCGGCGATTAAAACCAAGGTTGTAAAAATCGCTCGGCGGTCGACTGGCGATAAGCGATTAATCAGACTCGGCGGGGAATAATCGGCGATTAATCGGGGACTCTAAATTATTAATAAAATTATTTAAGAAATTAATCTTTCCTAAAAAATTAAGTATTTGAAAATTTTAAATTTTAAAATTTTGAATTTTTTAAAATTTTAGTATAATTTTTTAAATTTGAAAGCTTAAAAATTCAAAATTTTAAATTTTGGTGTAATATTTGAAAATTATTATTTTTTTTTTTTTTTGAATTTTTTAAGTATTTCCCGTCTATGACCGCCAAGGACCGCCAAGCCTGAGTTTGACCGATTTTGACCAATTTCCGCCAAGCACCCTAACCGTAATCGGTTTGAGGCCGCCAAGCGATTAATCGTCGATTAATCGGTCGCCAAGGGTGATTTCTGCAACACTGGTTAAAACAAGAAAAAATTATTTCGGTGGTTAATTTACAATAATTAGTTTGGTAGAGTCTGATGTTAAATTTATTTTGATTTATGATTTATGATTTTTTGGATTTAAAATGATCAATTTGGTCAATTATAAACTAAATAATATGCATGATATGTTTAGTCAATCCAACTATGAATAACAAGTACTACTTACACACGCCCTATTTCCGCATTTAAAATAAAGAAAATAATGTTTAGCAAGATGTATCCATCATATTATTAACAGACAAAAATGCATTATTATTATAATATTATTATTATTATTATAGAAGAGATCAGCAAGATGCTTGTCATGCTTCATCACATGTTTTCACAAAATGAAGATTTAACAATCTCTCAAAATTCTCTTTCTATTCAATAGATCACTACTTTTTTTTTAGTTTCTTTCAAGAATGACCAAATTCTAAGCTGATTTCTTCAACAAACTCAGCAGAACCCCAGCACTAAGAGTAGTGGCTACGCATCCTAGAGAAACCTCAGTTGATACATGATACCCTGCAAAAGACGTATTTGCCCTCATAAATGGAACCATAAGGAATTATCTTTGATTATGAGTGACCTAATCAATAAGACACTTACCAAAGAAATCTAGGATCATTTTGCATCCAATGAAGCCCAGAACTATGCCAATGGAGGGCTGATGATCATAGCAAACAATGGTAACATATTATTGGTTTGAAAAAAAAAATTATAAATTACCAAAAAAGAAATCTTGAAGCAAAATCAATACACCATTGACTCATTTCTAATGTTAATAATGGGCAAATATGTAAATTCAAACACAAAGATATAGAAGAAAATGTTGACCTAACATCAATTTATTTGTAATGTCAAACATGGATAAACAAGCAAATCCTAACATGAAAACCTTCCAAAATTCAAGGCATGACTCCCAAGTAGATAGATACTATACTACCAATTCATTCATAACAATGGACATGGGCAAATAGGTCATTTAACATGAAAACTTTTTAAACAAAAAAACTTACCTGTAGATACTCTAATTCTGCCATGCTTTCTGAAATCAGTGTATATAGAGATCTTAGACCTGCATCAGAAGCAAAAAATTCAGCCCAAATTTT